ACAGGTAAGAGGAATTGTGTTCACTACTGTGTGTGTGTGTGTTTTGTTTTTTGGGTTTTGTTTTTTTTTTTATCCTTTCTTTAGAAACAATAAGAGATATTCTAGGACAGAAGGAGCCATGGAAGAGAGGCAGAAATTAGGAGACAAATCATTTTCCTAAGGCAAGGCGTCATCTGTCAGGTTGTGACAGACCCCTGTGTTCATTGGGTCCTCACCTGTGGTACTCCCAACCTGCTGGCTAAGCAAGCAGCAGTGATACAGAATGTCAGGGCTGTAATACAGTTCTTCTTATGATGGAAAAGCACCCTCTCCCATTTCTAATAATTCAGTTACTTACCAACTAATTAATTATTTGGCAGATAGATAAATTATGTATCAGTCAAGACTGTGTCTCATCTCTAGAGCTGCCTGCAAAGGCTTTCTGGGGATGTTCGATTCTACAAGGCAGGACACCCACCGGAGAAAAAGCCTCCACAGAGGGCAGACTTGCCACAGCACCTTGCTGTTGATGTCTTTACCCTTTAGCATATGGGTCTCCTGTCCTTAAAGGAATTCAGATTGTAATATGCTATGACCATAAAAAAGAAGGAAATCAAGAAACAGGTACTTAGTCTTCATTTACTCTCCTGAAATGCAAGATAAACAAATTAAAAAGTGTTTTTATACCAGCATGCTAACTCCTGTGTCTTTTATGATAATTTTATATTTATTAAGAGTTAAACTTATTTTTTCCCAATATTTTATTATGAAGTTTCCAAATGCACAGAAAACTTGGAAGAATTTTACAGCAAGCACCCATATGTTTACCAATTACATGCTACCATTAACATTTCAGTATAATTCCTTTACGTCATATCATTATCTATTCTGTATCTACTGATCTGCCCCTCTATTCAGCTTATTTTTTAGTGTATTTCAAGGAATTACACTTAATTTTAATGCTGTTATAAAGAAAGCAATTATCAGCAAGAATATTTCATTTACATGGATGAGTATCCTCAGACTGGGCTTGTAGCTCCTAAGGATATTGGTTAACAGCAGACTGTGAAATCTCAAAGGCTAAAGCAAAGGCATGTCTGTGTTATTAACTAGCTGTGTGACTTCAGATAGGTTACTTTGTCCCAGAATCTCATTACCTTCATTGGTGTGCTGGAAAATGATCCTCATGGGGTTGTTGTGAGAATTGAACGTAATAGGTGAAAAGTGCTTAGCACAGTGCTGGGCAAATAATGACCAGGTGCTGACATCTATATCAACACTGCTCGCTTAGCCACTCTTTCATAATTCTGTGAGATCAAGGATCCTGTCTGTTTCCTTTGCCATTAAATTCCCAGCCCTTAGCACAGTGCCTTATAAATGGCCCATGTTAAATATATGCTTGTTGATATGAATTGGGTTGAATGGCAGAGATTTTCCCTCCTGGGATTCAGGGACTACATATTATTGGGGGCAGGCAAGTATAGTGGGCTTCAAAGGCACAGGACACAAGAAAGTTCAGGAAATGAAGTGGGAGAAGATGTTGAGACAATGACAGTGAAAACCTACCCAATAACACTAAAGTATTAATATTTATATTAGTTTTAGTGATGGAGCAGAATCCATCAGTCCCCTGTCCCCATCCCTAGACTTCATCCTCCCTGTGCCCAGCAGCAGACTTATAGCTCCTATACAGCATCTCTTCGGCCTAAAGGCTCTCCTCCAAACCTCAGAAGGGTGTTGGGCCTTCACCCCTGGCTGCTGCCCTTAACCAATGTCTGTTGGATGTATAAATACCCAGCAGGTATATAAGTAACCCAGTTTCCTTCCCTGTGGGTGGGACAATGCTGAGAGTGTGTTTCATACCATTTTATAGTTTCCCCATGAGATTCGAATCCAGTCACCCACATTGGTAGCTGGCTTGATGAACAAGCTCCTCAATTGACTGCCTTCCCTTCCCTACCTCACTTTCTTACTCCCTGCACCTCTTAAATGAACTTCCTGCATTTCATTTCTTGTCTCAAAATTCACTTCTAGGGTAAGCCAAAGTAAGACAAATGTCTTTATACTTTTAGAGCCACAGAATCTCTTTTGCAAATGGCATTAGGTACTACAATCTACTATGTAATATTTATAAAATTAGAGGTGCCCTGACTTAGGTGAGGGTGATATATGGAGGCCAGCGTCTTGCCTCTGTGGTCCTCTTTCCCTTCTACTCACATCCCCAGCACTCACTAAAGATGCCTATATCCTCTCTTACAGCTCTGAAGAACACAGCTGGTCAGCTATGAGGGAGTTGATGAGGATATGATAGACGATATAAAGAAAAGAGTAAGATGAATGAATAATAACAAGCAGACACAAAAAGGAAAATATGTTCCTTCAAAGGCACAAAAAGTATGAACAAATAGATTTTGTAAGGCATTCTGAAAAACAAAAAACCCCAAAACATCTGGAGGTTTGGGAGATTCTTGTACATTGTGTCATTCATAGCCTATTACACTTAGAAAAGCAGTTGTTTCGTAGAGAATTTAGGATGGAAGCCAATGTGGGCAATACATAAGTGGCAAAGAGATGAGTCCTCAGCTTGGACACAAAATTGCCTTTCGAGGCTGGAACACGTAAAAAACAATGCAGAAAAATGTCTCTAGTTAGCTGCATGATTATGAACCCATTCAATAGCTCAAAGAAAGAGGCCTGTGAAAAATATCCAAATATACTCAGGGGGAAAATGTGTGAAATTGAAGAAAACTGTAGGATGGACACATAATTTATCGCCCAAATCTGGACATGTTTAAGCAGGAAAGGTGTTGCTAATGATAATTATGCATGACAACAGTTGTAAACTGGGATTTGCCAGGCACCCAGAATATATGCTCTCCCTTATTATAACCTAATTAATGGAATTGCAACTCTGATACTGAAAAGAAAGTATTATGTATTAGTGGTAGGACAGGGAGAAAAACATATTTTAGACTAGCTGTCCGTGAACTTGAGGGTGCATCAGAATTACCTGGAAGGTATATAAAAATACAGATTCCTGGCCTCAACCCAAGACTTTCTGGTTAGATCATTTTGGAGAGGGGCCTGAAAATATACATTTCTAGAAAATCCCAGGCAATGCCAGTGCTACTGGTCCATAGCCACTTTTGGAGTAGGACTTGTTTAGACCAGTGGTCCTCAACCCTGGCTGTACACCAGAATGATCTGGGATCATTTAACAAAAATGCTAATGCATGGTCCTCACTCTCTGACCAGTTGCATCAATCTCTCAGGGAAGAGCCCTGGAATGTGCATTTTTAAGTATCTCTGGTGATGCTGACGGATGGTGAGAGCTGAGAAGCACATGGTTACCTAAAGGGGACCTAGAAACAAGGATGCATCAGAAATTGGAGCATAGCTTTGAAGAAGCAGGGACTCCGGTCCCTTGGCAAGTGGCATCCTTGGCTCCAGGGAATCCTGTCTAGACAAGGGCCATCATAGTGGCTAGGGCTGTCCAACAGGGCAGGGCTGTCCACCTGGAGCAGCTCTGCTTCCCTTTGTATCGTATCTTAGACTCCTGCAATGATTTTGCTTAAAGAAAGGCATCTGTGGCACAGTTACAGTTTAAAATGATAATTATAGTGACTACCAGGATACTGAATTACTACTTCTAATTTTCAATTAAAAATAGATTTTTAATAGTCCATGCCACCTTGTCCAGAACCCTACCAAATCTCCTCTCCATTGCTCTGCTCCAAAAAAGCATTCTCTGCAAGGGAGCCAGAAGGGTCTTTCAAAGCACACACTCTCTTGGGCAGATCTTCCAGTGGCTCTTGCTCCATGTACGATGAAATTCCTGCTCCTCACCACAGCCTCCAAGACAGGCTGGTATCTCTGACTTCAAGGCTTTCCAGACTGTGCTCACTGTGTTGCAGCCACCCAGGCATATCCCTATTCCAATATGCTTCATCCTTTTGCACCTCCAGGCCTTTGCACATAAAGTTCCCTTTGCCCAGAATGCTGTTTAGCTAGATCTTTCCATGGCTGTGCCTTTCTCATCCTTCCACTCTCCCCTCAAGCATTAATGACTCTGACTGGCCACCCCAGCCATCTGTGCAAAGATTGCCTCCTCCCACCAGCCTTTGCTCTTTTTCCACATCACTGTGTTTCTGTTTTTCACAGCAGTTTTTATACTCTGTCATTTTCTTGTTTATTTATTTACTTCTGGAACTGTCTGTCTACCCAGTAGAATATAAGCTCTATTAAATGCTTATTCACAGCTATATTTCCCCAGCCCCAGCTTGTAGTCTGGTATATAACAGGTACTACATATTTATTTAATGAATTAATTAATAGTCCAATAGCACCAGCCTTTAAGATCACTCAGTTAACCACCATTGTTCAAATTCCAGGTTCACTGAAAAATACAAACTGGCAAAATTTTATTCTCCTTGTTGACGTTACTATGGGGAGAGAATATATTGATAAGGCAATATCAGTATTTTGGCTCATTTAACAGTGACTATTTCTTCCTGGAAAAGCTGTCATTCTGATTCATGTGACAGTGTTTTCTGGATCTGGTTAGTATGATTTAGTTTCCTTGATCTAGTTTAGTCTTTAAGAAAGCTAACCCAGTGGTATTCCTGGACTAGACATTTGAAAAACAGGATATCAATAAAGACCACATATCAACATACTGCTGTCCTGAGGGGCCCTATCTAGCTGATCTCCTGGATAGAGTCTATAAAAGCAATGGGTCTATCTTAACCAATGACATCTTCCTGCACAACTTCAGCATCATCTACCACACTGCTCTCCAAATCATGATATTCAAAGCTATTATTGTTTTTTCTATATTCCTTTTGTTGTTGTTGTTGTTGGATGATCTTTCAAAATTCTTTTCATGCTAAAATCATTTGGCCTCTTAGAGGAATTAAGACCAATTCCAGCTGGTTACCAAGACGGTCACAGTCAGCTTACCTCATGTGCGCCCAACTCTTAATAAAAACATGCTTTTGTCATTTGTCCTTTGTATGACTTACCTTGCCCACGTCTCTTGGGAAAGGTTGTCTCTGATTCTCTGGAATTAAAATGGGAGATACCACGATGGATCTCTTTTGTCTTGGGACAGGAGAAGTTCTTGCAAATTTAAATATATCCTAAAAGAGAAAACAAAACAAGTTGACTAAAATCTCCCATGGAAAGGATGTATCAGTCTGCTCTGAGATACAGTTCTTTTGTTGTGAAAGCATACAGCTGTTTGGACATTGTTAATTTTATTCTATCAAACCTCATTAGCGTTACCAAGTACATCATTAGAATTATACAAAAGCTGACACTGTGATTCACAATGACTATCATTAAGCTATTTAATCCCATCTTCTGAATTACTCTTTTGACAATGTCAGTCTTGATTTATACAGCCTTCAGTGCTTGCTTGTGTATTACTGTTCTTAACCTACAAGCAAGTAGATTACTCACCTGGTCAGTTACCCAGAGAATGTACCAGATATAAAAGCAGTTCTCTTCATGGCCAAATGCAAGGCCCTTACACTCACAAACGAATAGGGATGAAGGGACAGTCGCAAAGTTCCTAACTATGTCAGGCATCATGGAGACTTGTAATCAATGTTTTTTCTAACATTTATTCTGAGGCAGCTGTTGGAGTACATTCTCCAAGTAGTATATCCTAACGTCAGTCACTGGAGTAACACTGCCAGGGTTTTTGTTCTATCTGTAACTCACATTTTTAATTAAACATATGTGTTCAAAATGAAAACTTTATATCATTATTTTAAATAAAGCACTAGTATCACTTTACAAAAAAAGAAAGAAAACATAAAGGAGACCAAATGATATTATTAAATTCAAGCTAAAAACTGTTGCCTATAAAGAAGAAATTTCCTCTTTTTAAAAGATAAGAAAAGCCTAGAGATGTGTTTAAAGGGTGTAACAGGTTCCTATCAAATGCACAAAATTATCTTCTGTATCACCAGAACTAAGCATCTTAAAGTTGACAATAGGTTCCCATCAAAATCATGTGATAAATGATAGTTTCATGCCATTTTTAGCCATGTGATCCCATAAAAGTGTGTGTGTGTGTGTGTGTGTTATAGTCTTAAAGGAAAATTTACTAAGAAAAATCAAAAGGAAACAAGCTAAGACTCTGAGAGCTTCTATAAACAGTTTTTCTCTTGATTTTGGTGGGAGCATAAATTGATAGCACCCTTGTGGAAAGCAATTAGGAAATATTTATTGAGAGCCTACAAATGTACGTATCCCTTTACTCTGCAATTTAGCTCTTAGGAATGCATCCAAATGCTAACTTCAAAAGAAGAATAAAACTGCATACAAAAAGAAGTTTAGTAAGACATGATTTATAATGGAAAAATGAAAAACAACCCAAATGTTCAACAGTAAAGACAAGGTTAAATTTGGGCCCATTAGTAGGAGATACTCTCAGGCCATTACCAATAAGGCAGCTGTGAAGACCGTGTTCCAATCACTGTCGTCATCACTCTGCTGCCTTCACCATCACTTCCACAAACTACGGTAATAACGATATATTAAGCACATGTTGACCAATGTGCTAGGCACTATGTATGTGTCAGCTCTAATATTTGCAGCAAACCTCCCAAGTAAATAAATCTTAGCCTGCCTTCACCAGGGAAGAAAGTTCAGAGCGGTTACGTAAGAGCTGTTAACTTTACCTACCTAGCAGAGAGAATATTTCAGACAAGCAGCGTAGGGAAATACAGAATGCCATATTAGATGCATTCCATTTTATATACACTATATTAATCACAGAAGACAAATATCAAAATCTCAATGGAAGAATCAAAATAAAAGACCATTTGGTTTCTAGGAAGACAAAAGACTCAATATGCAGGCAAAGACAGAAAACTAGAGTCCGTGAATACGTATATATAAATCAGTGAGAAGAAAAGGAAGGGTCTAACAAACAAGCAAACAAAAAACCCAACCAACAATCAAAAAAAAAAAAAAAAAACAAACTGAACCTACAAAACAGCACATAGAAAGAGAGCTAGAACAGATAAGGAGAAGACAATGAATAACAGAGTGGATTATATTTATACAAAACTGATGTCTAACCTCTATGAAGATTCTGTGGTTTATTTAGGGGTGGCAAAAGAACAGAAAATATGTAAAATATGTGCATTCTATGAATCTCACTCACAATAAAAACAAGTCGAGTTCAGATGAGAGAATGGTCTAGGAAAGCACTTTGAAAAGATTTAAAGTCTTATGCAAATGTAAGGGTTTGGTAATTAGGCCCCATCGTAGAGCAAACATAGACCTCAGTTCATTATGACAATAATGTGTAAATGTGTCCAAAGTAATGAAAAAGTGCACTGTGTCATCAATAACAAACTTTCCATAGTTTGTAATAAAGCACTTGCTTGTGTTTCCATGGGAATCCAGAGCGGTCAGGTCCCTGTGCCCCCATTTCCAGCTCTGGTGTCCTCCCAGCCCATCAGCTAATTGAGGCCCAAGCTGCCAGTCCACTTTCCTGACCCTCACAGCATCCCAGAAGTACAGCCACAAGCACAATTGTGTTACCCCCTGGACCTAAAGTGCCCAAGAAAAGCATCAGGAGGCTCCGAACCTTGGAAAACAGCGTCTGGAATGGACAAGGCAGGGCAGGGTGGAGATGACTAATGGTAGAGATGCCCCCATATGCATGTGTAAATGTGCACTCTCTGATCTCTGATCCCGCCATGGGGGACATCTTAAAGAACATCTGGGGTCAGGACATCCTGCTTCTTCTGACTCTCAACTTTTGCCTTTCCTCAGGAGGAATCTCAGTGAATATTTGTCCATGACTTTGTTTCTAGGTCCATGGCTCTGCTTCTGTTTTGTCTGTGTATATTCATAGTCCATGTGTATGTCAGCAAGTGTCTGCCTCTATATTTGTGGCCATGTCCACCTTTGCTCGGGTCTGTGCCAGTGAGTTTGGCTGTGTGCTCCTAAGCCATGTGCCTGTGTGTGACTGGGACCACCTAGGAGCCATCATATCTGATTTGACCGTTGTCTACATACCACATATGTGTATAACCATGCTAATGTACCACTGTGTGTGTGTGTGCGTGTGTGTGATAGAAGTGAGGGCTTTGGTATAGACAGAAACGAGAGAAATGGGGAGAAGTTCATCCGTTCAAGGAGGGGAGGTGACGTGGTGTGAGCATGTGAAGATGAAGGAGAACAGGGGAGACGCCCGACGGGGACCCCACAGGAGGCGTGAGGAGTGGACGTCAGCAAGGGGAGTGAGCCCCAGCCAGGGGCCAGCACTGCCTTCCTTGGGGCAGGACAGACGGGGCCGAGGGAGATTTTCTCATTCATGAGGCGGATCATTTTCCTGTCCTCTCAGTCACCAGAAGGAAATGAGAAGCTGCACATAACAGCACCTGGGCTTTCTGAAGAACAGCACAAAAGTGAAGGACGGGTCTTAGTAATACTGGGACGGAGGAAGTGAAGGAATGAGGACGAGGCACTCAGTCCCTGTTAGGAGTGAGTCACTCGGCTGCAGGTGGCCTAAGGCCAGAGCTTAAGCCCAGACATGTGGAGGCACACCTTCCCACTTCAAACGAACACAATCCCCTCAGCCATGGGGACAGACACAGGCACGCAGAGGTGTGTGTGAGGACAGTGAGGAGCTGGGGCCACCACCGGGCCAAGCGCGTCTCTATAGCCCCTGCCGTCTCTGGGTAATGATGCTGGTCGGCGTGTCTGAGCCTGGGCGTGGGAGGCCTGCACTGTCCCTTCAGTCAGAGGCGCAGCGCCGTGTCTTCAGGGAGCCTCACGCGTGCTGGCCTCCGTCACACAGGAATCATCACCCTTCCTTAAACTCCTTTCGCCTGGCGCAGCCACGCAGGGCCTGTGTCTCTCTGTCTTAGGGTATTTGGCTTTGCGACTTCATTTGCTCGCCTTGCTGTTTCTCAGTCTCAGGAGAAATCGGAAGCACAGGAAAAGCAAGTGCCACACTACCTTGGGGGGTCACATCACGCAGCCTCAAAGAGGATACCAGAAATAAAGGGGAGGCCCTTGAAACTGTGAGCTGGGGGGGTGGGGGAGGTGAGGGCCAAGGCAAAGGAGGGCAGAAGGAAATAAAGAATGTGAAGAGGGGGTAGAGAGTAGATTCATATTCATTCATTCATTCATTCCTTCCTTCCTTCAAGCACATATATTGAGCCCTTCTTCCCTGCCAGGTATACAAGGTCTGTCTGAAAAGTATCAAGCCTTGTTAATATAATGAGAGCTATTACATAGCTGGATATTTTCCGGACAGACCTCATAATTCTGGGCATCTGGATAGTCCACAGTGTAAAACAGACAAGTGCCTGCCCTCAGGGAGCTTACACTCTAGAGGGAAGAGACAAAGGATGAACAGAGAAAGAGAGTGACACATAGAGCCCAAGAGAAAAACCTAGCAGGAAAAGGACTTGAGGGGCCAGGGGGAGGGGTGGTGACATTTCCCACTTGGGTCCAGGGAGAGGGCCCAGGGAAGGCAGGGGGAGGAGGGACCTAGGCTGGCATGTCTGAGTGTCAGCCGGGCAGCTCTTGGCTGAGCCAAGTGAGCCCTGATGGGGAGAAGACAGGTCAGGGCCTCATGTAGCGAGTTCAGACCCTAGATCCCAGATCCCAGCTCCTAGATCCCAGACCTCTGTGCAGACCAGGGGGAGGTGCTGACTTTTGCTCTGCATGGGGCATGAACCCTGGGAAAGTTTGACATTTGGAGCTGAGGTGTCCACTTATGATAAGAAAAGAACACGACCCTGCTGTGTGCAGAATAGCCTTAAAAGGATAAAAGTGCAGGAAAGGTTCATTTTTTGAGTTTCTTCCTTGTCCCAACTCTGTCTTTACAGAACACTGAGGGTCCTGCTAAAATGCAAATCCGAGCATTTAATTTGTGGAAAGAGAGAGGTGGGGTCATTTTCCCTGCTGGAGCCCCTCTTTCCAACCATATTGTTAAAGTATTATGAAGGTATAATTTATGTACCATAAAATCCACCCATTTTAAGTTTGCAACACAAGGATGATCAGGAAATTTACAGGGTTGTGATATCATTACCACATCTAATTTTAGAACCTTTCCATCACCTCTAAAAGAAACCTCACGCCCATTAGTAGCCAATTCCCC